GTTTACATTCGGCAAACTCAACTGAAAACGGCCTGCAAGCGACGAAACCGAAGGAGAGGGTCCGGAAACCCACGCACCCACCCGGAAGTGTTCCAAGCTCGACAAAACCGGTGGAATCCCACAATATCAACGTCACTCCGTCGTTTTTGATGTCGATCCCCATATCATCCTCACCCCCCCCCCCCGACGTCGAAAGAAAAACAGATCATGACCCCAACACCAAACGTAGAAAGAGGCCGGTATGAGGACCAGCGTCAGAAACGTTAAAACGACGCTAATATCACCGGTTTTACTGAACTGGAACCCCCGGACACCCACCCCGACGGCCGCTTGGATCTCGGACCCGGATCCAAAAATCCACAGACCTTTCTTAACCGCAGGAATTTAGATGCCCTGTCTGCAGATTTCCATTTATTTTAGGATTGGGCGATCTTGGATCGATCTTTGGAAGATCGATCTTTTTCATCCCGATTTTTCGGATCGATTCTTTGTCCACAAAAAGATCGAAAAAATTCGATCTCTTCTTTCGATCTTTTCGATCTTCAAAAAAACAAATATGTGTTAAATTTGTTAAGTGTATTTACATCGAAAAAAAAAAAATATTTACTTTCACCAGACAGACACAGACTGCGTTATAAATTTAACGAACATAACGTCAACATCGGCATCGCTCCCTACAATGACGTCACTGTTTGCGTTTCCAATATTTACTGGTACAGCAACATTTGAAGGTTTATGCTGCACCGATAAAATTTCAAAGATTGTTTTTATGTGTCCCACACATGAATTTTTGCAATGTGATCAACAAATGATATTTATGTGTCAGACACATGCTTAATATGTGTACACATAAAAGCAATGTGTAACCACACATACTATTCATTTGACTCATAAATTTCATGTGTGCTTCTGGGTGGTCACATGAAAATCATGTGGAATTTCAAATGGAATTTCGTCAATAAAAATGTGTGGAATTTTATTAGTGTACCTCCCTCCTGTGCTCATTGCTGCTTACCGTTACGACAACATTAAATTGAATATTATAAAGGAAAGAATTCCTTGGGGTACCAACGTAAACAAGCGTATTAAAATAAAAATCAAAACATCGATCTACCAAAAATCGATTATTTGGTACCGCCCTAATAAAAAATAACCATTAACGAACGATAACCCAAATCATTGAACTATTCAACAAATGGTTTGGATGATACCCAGAACACGTCGTTAAGAAAATTAACCATATAATTTTTATTAGGGTGATTTAACCAGTTAATTCTAGAGCTCGTTCTAGAGCCAACAATAAGATCGATCCGTCAAGATCGATCTTTCTCTGAAGATCGCTCAATCCTAATTTATTTGCTTTTATCCCCCATTCACATGCTAAAATAATTTCAAAATATTTTTGTTTATTTTAAACATGAAAAGCATGTGTGCATGTGTGTGGCCAGAGCAAACCAAGTTTACGTTTAAATTTACCTCAAATATTTTTTTTTCACTGTAAAGTTTTGTGCGTGTACTTAAAATCTGTGATTCTTGAGGAAAAGTCGAGGGAAAAGTGAAAATCGGTAGTTTTGAACCTTTCGTCTGTGAATCGGTAGACATCCCGAAAATCGGTAGGACTGCCAATTAGTCGGTAGGTATATATGGCCACCCTACACACAAAAAACGAAAATTGTTGCTATAAAAATAATGCATTTTCAAAATGAAAGTTTCCCTAATTTCGTAGTTTTAACTGGGCAAATTTTCAAAATGAAAGTTATATCTTTGGTTTGAAAGTTTTTTTTCACTTCTGACTTGTTATTTTAAAAGTGCATTATGTTTATATAAAAGTTGTTCAACTGTCAAAAATACCTCTTCATAGTAAAGTTGTTGGCAGTACTGAACCGATCTCTGAACCCCACTTCATTTGCCGCCAAAATTGAATATGAGTGGACGAGACGGAGGTAAAAAAAAGCAGTTTACGGTGGAATCGGTGTTCGAAAGTTGCCTCCAGTGACGATAAGTGGCAATCGATGGTGATTCTGCCACTGCAACAGGAAATGATAGGTGAGTTGGAAATTCGTTTTTCTTAGGATCGAACGAGGGATCGATTAAATTTGTTTTTACATCGTAGGTACGTGGTCGAGTCGTTCGGGTGGTGGTCAATTCCCGTGGTGGGTGGCGTTCCTTTACCGGTGCTGATGACAAGGATTTTCTGTCTTCACCATTCTGCTGGATATTTCTATGGTGAGTGTCCCACTTTTGTGGTATGCAATTGTTGTATTTCAAAGGCTGTATTTTTGTTTTTGTAGATTCTATATCGTCAGCTCATGGAGAATAAAGTAGCTTCAGCAGGAAGACCTCGTAATGAATGCCGTGTCCATGAAGTGGTATTGGGATTGCCTTGTCAAGGGAACGTTTCCCAAAGCACTCGTTGTCATAACCGCTTTCCTTTTGTTATCGTCGTTTCGAACGATAGAAGTAAGAGGAAAGTTCCGAAATTGCCGTCGACCCGAGGTTGGACCGAATACCTTCCTTTGATTCCTCGGACTAGGACAAAATTTGCAATGGTAATTTTAACTATGTATTGTTTTGTTGTTTTTTTTATAAAATATACTCGAAAATATATGAATAAACACTATTTAAAAAAAAATCATTCAAATATGAGTTTGGGTACTTTTTTAAATCTTGAAAACTATTAATCTGATAATATTTCAAATTTGAGATAAAAACATATATTGTCATGACAAAAACGACTCCTTTTGAACTGAAACAGTTCGTACACACAAAAAATAATCATTAGTAAAATTAAAAAAAACCATTGGTGAAATTAAAAGTTTGCATTGGTTCTTTTTGGTAGAAAGCGGCTAGCTTTCAAAATGAAAGTAATCTAACTGTCAATTCAAAAGTTGCCCACTCCCTACTTTTAAAAGTTGAAACTTTCAAATCGAGTTATAGAACTGTCAAATTGAAAGCATGGCAGTATTTAAATTAACAGCGTGTTTCAAACAAGCTTTTGACATGAAAGTTTAATATAGTGTAAATAAAATGTGCCACTTTGAATAGGAAAAATAAATGTTGTCAATTTAAAAACAAGCATTTTCAATATAATATTTTTTTAAATTATTTATATTATTTTTAATTTCTTGATAATATTTAATAGTATATACTATATTCTATAAATATGTTATTCAAGTTATGTCTACCCGGTTTCCGAAGACGTCGCTGCTGTGGGCTCGAAGTTCTCCGATGATTTTTCCACTGCAGCTGATGGGATGCTTCATCCTGCAACTGGTACCTGTTCCGGGTATTTAGACTGCAAATGAGAAAGATACAAATCAATATTGGAAACCTTTAGTTATTTCTTGTAAATCTACAAGTCTTGAGAATGGTACAATTAGCAATTATGGGTGATTGGAGCTATACCTGTATGCAGCTTGTAGATTTAGTAGATGGTTGTCAGATTATTCCCACGGAAGATGAGCAAATTCAAGATCAGAATGGAGCTCTTCACTAAGCGCCTTGAATACCGAGTTAAATACGTTGATCTGTGGAGATGAAATTATTGGTTACGTTTCATAAATAGATTCATCATCATCAATTATGGTTTCGTAGTTTATTAAACTTACCGTTGAATCAATTACCATACTCAAAAAACTCCTATGGAAGCCAGCCAAAACCATTCCTCCATCAATCGACGTCAACTCAAATTTAGCGCCAAATGGAGGTCAAGTGTTGCCAAAAACATCGCTATGAAAAGGTATTTTTGAAAGTTGATCAACTTTTATTTTAAAAGAATGCGCTTTTAAAATAACGAGTCGAGAGTAAAAGAAACACTTTCAAAACAAAACAATAACTTTTCATTTGAATATTTTCGTAGTTAAAACTACGAAATTTGCGAAACTTTTAATTTTTATTGCAACAATTTTTGTTCTTTGTGTGTACTTCATTTTAAAAATATTGGTTTTCCTTTTGACAGTTCCACAATTTGATTCAAAAACTTCAACTTTTGAATTTAACGAAGACTTAAACTTTTGATTTGACAGTTTACACATTTTTATGTTGAATGCTTCGAACTTTCTACCAAAAAGAACCAACGAAAACTTTTAATTCTACCCATGGTATTATTAATTTTAGTAACGATTATTTTTTGTGTGTAAATAACGCTACTGTGAATTGTCCTACACGCATAGAAATCTCCTTGTACCTTTTGGCAAATTTCTATTGCTGATTATGCATAAAATGTATAAGTCAACTAATAAGCAAACGCCTTGCAAAAAGTTAATGAAGCTCATGTGTCAAATGAAATGTATAAGCGGTCACACATACCTTTTATGCATTCTTATAGGACCTATGTGGTTTGTCTTATGGAATGTATAAGACTGATGTTTTGGCAAAAATGTATAAGTGAAACACATGAATAAAATAATTGATTTTCGTTTCGTGCACAGAAAAAAAAAGTTGTTGAATATTACATCCAAACTGCTGCAACCAGGTCAATCCATCGGTTGTGTAATATAACGTTGTACGATGTACATCGATTTTGCGAACAAAATTACATCCATTGATGTAATATTGTATCAGCTTGAATTACATTGATCGATATTACATTTTTTTTTTGCTGTGTGTACTACAAATTTTGTTAGGGTTGTCTACCACAGATTTTTTTTTTTTTTCATACCACCCTTCATGGAAAATTTCATATGACTCCCTCTTATTCCGATTTTTTTACGGCGCCCTTACGCATTTATTTACTTTCTTTCCCTCAAACTGACAGTTCGCTCCAATGAGCTGTATTACCGAGGTGAAGCAATCGGTTAAGTTGTGTGAGTAAAACCCGTGTACGATACAACCAATTAGTGACGTCACTACTTGCGTTTACGTTGATTTTTTGGTTTACTAATACAACCATATTTCACGATCTGCTTCACCTCTCTCTGTACCTCATTGAGTTCGCTCCACCGAAGGTGGAGGAGGACGAACGGACGTCAAAAATTTTCAACCAGTTGCCGTTCGTCACTCGCTCTGGTTCGTTCGCTTGTCCTCGCAGAAGAGTTTCCATCTTTCGGCGGTCGTCTGGTTCTGGGTCGATGGTCCAGTGAGTTTTTGAGTGTTGACGTTGTGAAATAATGTAGGAAGAATACTTATCGCTCCTCACAGCAGCTACGCCGTACTTCTCCTCGTCTTCTACACTACACAAATCACTCCAGTTTTTACGACGGCCGTCCGTCGGAGTTCGGAATCGGGAACGCGGGTAATGTGAGAAAAAAAATCCGTGAGTTTTCGGTGTGCAAAGGAATTTTATGATCCGGAATATCCGGCATTGGCGCAATCCTCTTCTCGCAATATTCAGTGGGGCAGTAAAAATTCCAGTTTATCTGCGTGCAAAAGAAAAGAAGAGTCAAGTGCGGAGAGAGAGAAAAAAATGAAAGTGAAAGCGTCCTCTGTGTCTGCTGTTTTGTTTCTAGCGCTCCTCCGTTGAGTGAGTCCGCTGGTTGCTGATCGATGATGGTCGTGGAAGGAAGAGTGTAGATAAATTTCAAGGGAATTTGCATTTCGGAAGCGATTAGTTCCACTTTTGCACCTGGAAGAGCACTCCACGTCGTCATGAATTGCACCCGAAAGTGCTTCAAAGTGTTCCAGTGAAAGAGGAAGAAGCAAATCTTGAAGAAAGAAAATAAATCAAGCCAGAAGAGGGCCCAGTGAGTGGAAGAAGGGGGGAAAAGTAAACAACGGCGGCAGAAAGAAGCTAGCTCCTCAGTGCAGTCCGCTCAGATCATCGCCCGGAGCCCATCAACTAGACATACAGTCGTGCGTGAAGTTTCAGTGTGAAGTGCGAAGAAGCGTTCCAGAAACACAAGTCGGTGCCAGTAGCACCATTTAGAGCGAAAGATGGAAAATCCGAGTTCGCTTCCATTTCTTCTAGTCACGGCCAACGTCGGGAGCGTTTTCGAGGACGTAAGTTCAAGAGCAGATTTGTAGCCACTCACCATCATACGTATAGAAATAGCGATAGAAAGCGTCCCAGCTGGAACATATCAATTTGACCGCCTGTCCCGTGTTGCTGTCCTAACGGGGATGGGCTGGATGATTTCATCGTCGATATGCTGCCGTCAAGTTTGCTCTACGGACATGGGACGACAGGAAGTAGGTCAACCTTCCTGCTGTTTGCGAGCAACACGGTCGATATTGAACCAACAATGTTTTTAGCTTGTGTGTTTCTGATATCAGGCCCCGGCAGCATTGGCGTGCTTTTATTCTCGTTACGCTTTAGCTGCTGCAGTCGGTGCACTTTCGTCATAATCGATTGGGACCCGATCGCGACGTCGGTTTGCCAAGGCGGACGTCTGCGTTGCGACGGTGAGTGACAGAGGAGACAACCAGTTGGTAGGCCCGCAAGACACCGTTCCGGTTGGACCAGTCCGCACGGTTCAAAACATCGTTTCGCACAGGGTGTGCATTCGTATAGTAATAATATTATAATTATTGCTTTTATATGGCTTTTTATGATGTTGTTCCCTGGGTTAGTTGGCGAACGAAAGCACATCGTCAAGCCAAGCCCAAAGGAGGAAGCCCTCGCAGGCGACGTTGTTGTCCAGTAACTGTTGTTGTTGTTGTTGTTTGTTGCTTCTTTTAATGTTTTTGCTGTCCGAAGATGACAGGTTGAGCTTCAATGTGTCCAAACTAGTTTCCAAGAAAGCGAAGAAAGGTACTCTTTTTCGAGTAGAAAGGGGGCTGCTGTTGGTTAAACGTTTCTTAATGACCCCAATAGAAATTCAAATGAGTTCCTGATAAGTTTTTTTGTTAGTAAATGTTAATGGGTGAAATTTTAATTTGAATATTGAAAAAATATTTGTAAGGCAGTATTTTATTAGTTTGTTGCCTTCTGTTTTATTAGTAGAATAAATTTTCAAAATTTTGTAAACCTAAAAATTTTTGGTAAAAAATGGTCCCTCAATTTAAATGTTGAGATCTTAAAAATTTGCCAATGTTCTAGAATTTCAAATGTTTCCTATGTATTAGCAGTTTCCCGATTTTTCCTGAAATTATGTCATTTTCCCGGTTGTTCGATACACGTTTACTTACTTACTTTTGTTGGTCCGACGTCCCTCAGGATTTGACCTGCATAACAATGTTGCACCAACTAGCTCGATCCCTGGCTTGTCTCCAATTCCTCGAGCGTCCCACACTTCCTAGACCCTGCTCCACTTTGTTCAACCATCTAGCACGCCGCGCTCCTCTGCGTCTTGTTCCAGCCGGATTTGAGGTAAACACCATTTTTGCGGGATTGTTATCCGGCATTCTTACAACGTGTCCCGTCCATTGTACCCTTCCAGCTTCAGCGACTTTCTGGATACTGGATTCCAATATAAGAAGCGCCAGTTCGTGGTTCATTCTTCTGCTTCAAACACCGTCTTCATATACCCCGCAAAAGATGGTCCTTAGCACGCGTCGTTCGAAAACTGCCAGTGCTTGAAGTCCATGTCTCATGCCCGTAGAGTACTACCGGTCTTATCAGCGTAGTGCGGAGATGTAGTTTACCCGACGTTAGGGTCTTGTGGAGTCCGTAGTAGGCACGTCTTCCGGCAATAATGCGTCTCCGAATTTCTCTACTGCAGTTGTTATTTGACGTCACCAATGATTCGAGGTACACAAATTCATCCACCACCTCGAAATCATCTCCGTCTATCGTCACAATGCTGCCTATGCGAGCCCTATCGCGCTCGGTTCCTCCAGCTAACAGATACTTTGTCTTCGACATATTCACCTTTAATCCAACCTTTTCTGCTTCACGTTTCAGCCTGGTGTACTGGAGAGCCACCGTCTGAAACGTTCTTGAGCTTGAGCTTGATTGACCGCCCACGGTTGCCAATCTGTTACTGCCAGATCAGCTGTAATTACACAGAGAACCAATAGACGATGCTTGGGACTAGCAATCATCCTCAATGTGTAAAAACTGGTGATCTTAAATTAGGCAATACCAGCGCCGGCCGCGCCCGAACACAGGTCAAGAAAGGAATGGGAAGGATTGTGTTGACATGACACTCGCTTTGATGGAAGCCCAGAACACCTCTGCACTTCCACGAGGAATCACTAGCCTGTTGGATAAGAGGGTTGGGTTTGCAGCAGGGTTCGTTTTGGTAAACGATAAGCTGAATTGATGTCCTAACGATCATATAACGCGAAGGAGCTTGGGACTAAACCCACGGTCTTCTGCTCAGTAAGCAAAAACGTTTGCCACTAGGCAGACGAGCACCTTTTTAATCACCGAGTTGCTATTATTACCATGTAGTCATATTAACAAATAAAACGATTGACGAATCTTGAATGTGGATGGGCCTGAGATTAGACTCATGATGTTTCGCTCAGTAAGCAAAAACGGTTGCTCTAAGGCCACCGAGCCCCTCATATCACATAATACCGTTGCTCAAATTTGTGTATCCATTCAAACCCGGAACCAACGACAACAACGAGTTTCGCAAAATACACGATGCACAAGCGATTTTACCATAAATCTCTTTGATATGTAAGGACCTGGGACCGCGATTTTCTGCTCAGTAAGCAGGCCACTGTAACCGACGATCTTTCAAATCCGAAAACTAAAACCTACGAAAAAGTACTTAGGCCTTCATTAAGTTCCACTTTCACGCGACGTTCAATGACAGGGTCCTATCCAGGATTTCATCTGAAAAATCCAAATCTGGCCAACGCCCACCCTTAACCTAAACCTGTTCTAACCTACCTGAAATGACTAACGAATGGAAGACTTTGACTACCCAGCCATGCAATAGTCTCATTCCGTGCCTTATGACAACTTGATTCTATTGCGCTCATCTTTTGGCACCACCCAGGGGAGACTTGGTCCTGTACCCAATGCTTAACTTATCTCCATTCCACTTAGCTACTCACAATTTCTTGTGATATAGTGGGCGGAATATTATTATATGAGACAATTCAATGCAGACGTCTTTCCAAATTTGGCAGATCGACAGGTAATCGGTGAGTTACCACGATAGTTGCTATTCAAATACTCGACAACGTTCCATCGTCAACGCCTGCTATGAGAATTTCCCATTGCAGACGCCAACGAAATGACGTCATCGAGCTATCGATCAACTACCCTGGAGCCTGGTACCTTATAGCACGATGCTAGGAGGCGAACCGGAAGAATCGATGAGCTACCTCTCCCCCACATACTGGAAAGCCACCGCCTGAAACGTTCTTCCGACAATGTCCACGTCGTCAGCGAAGCAGTTGAACTGGCTGGACTTATTGAAGATCGTGCCCCGCACGTTTCATAACACCTTCTAGCGCAATGTTGAACAGGAGGCAGGAAAGACCATCGCCTTGTCGAAGTCATTTGCGTGTTACAAACGGGTCGGATAGCGCACCCGATATCTTCACTGTACAAAATCCATCATAGCCTTGATCAGTCTCGCCAGTTTCCCGGGAAAACCGTTAATAATCTTCCATAGCTCTCCACGGTCAATAGTATCGTAAAAATCGGCTTTAAAATCGATGAATAGGTGGTGTGTAGGAACTTGATATTCGCGATATTTTTGGAGGATCTGTCGCAACGTGAAGATTTGGTCTGTTGTCGATCGCCCGTCTACAAAACCGGTTTGATAACTTCCCACAAATCTGCTTGCTAGCGGCGATAGACGGCGGAAGATGATCTGGGAAAGCAGTTCCGCTCCGATACTATCCTTCCCAGCTGCCTTGTTGTTCTTTAGCTGTTTGATAGCATCCTTAACTTCACTTATCGTAGGAGTTCTTACTTGTACTTCGTCCGCCGCATCGATGATGCCGTTCCTCCTGCTGTCTTGGCTCTCCGTCTCTGTGACATTAAGGTGTTCAGCGTAGTGCTGCTTCCACCTTTCGATCACCTCACGTTCATCCGTCAAGATAACTCCGCACAAAGCCTTTGCGGGATCCGTCGAGTTTCTTGTAGAACTTGCGGGTCTGTTGTAAACGATACAGCTGTTCCATTTCTTTGCACTCTGCCTCTTCCAGGCGACGCTTCTTATCCCGGAAAAGACGTGTTTGCTTTTTTCGCTTCTGTTTATATCGCTCCACATTTTGATGGCTACCTTGCTGCAGCATCATCGCCCGCGCTGCATTCTTATCGCCTAAAATCATCTGACACTCCTCGTCAAACCAATCGTTTTGTCGATTCCGTTCCACAAACCCAATGGCACCTTAATGGCTGCTTTGACACTATCCCAGCAGTCCTCAAGAGGGGCTTCGGTCAGCTCTCACTCAATTGTGTGACGTCAGAGTAAATTTTGTAAGTAGTTCTGTGGAAAATTCCACGACGATTGTGACGAGTATTCAAGGATCCGTGAAAAATACAAAGAGAATGCAATTTTGAGGGTACAATTCCAAAGAATTCCAAGTGAATTTTTAGAAAAAAAATAGAAGATTACTACAACATAATCCTGAGCAAAATTTAAGACAATTCCAAGTGAACTGCATGGTATTGTGGTCCGTATTACTCAATAGCCAGGAAAGGGTCAGTTTTATTTTATAACTAGTTTATTGATTGGTAAGCAGTGCTGAGATTTGCCATTGTCATTGACAGACTTTCGCGCAATATTGACTAAATTGTTCATCACATAGTAACCTTTTACAAAATCTCATTCATCAGAGATTCACGTGGAAACAAAAAGTGTAATTTCGTGCATTCTGATTCACATTATGGTTATCCAAGCAGTTCAGAATTTAGAATATCGCCGTGTATTGTCGCGATTTTGCAGCACTGCTGGTAAGGATGGATTTTGATTAGGAAAAATAATGTCTCCAGTGCATCAGTAAAACTTGGGTTGCTGTGATGAACGGTCCTCGTTGAACACCGATGACTTGATCGCCAACACCCCCTCTCAATAGGTGACTCCAATCTTGCTTCTGATGCCGTTTTAGTTTGGTGAACCAGGTTCGAAACTGGGTTAGTTTCTTCA